AAACGAATTGAATACCTAAAATGTACCAATAAAAGAACTTAAGGGAAGAGAAAAAAGAACAGGGTTAATTGATCTGTTAGCTTTCTCAAGAACGTGACGTACAAATTGGCTTAGGAAAAGAACTCTACTCATTCCATTCTCGTAGAGAAGGAGGTGTGTTGGTTGAAGGTGGCAGAGTGGAATATATTTGAACTCAAAGCATAGAGTTGTATGTTTTGAAAAGTTCTTATTGTATAGACGATAATAAGTTTAACATTTTATAATTTCTAAAATACAGAGCAATGGAAATTATAGGATTTTTAGTACTTTACGGCACTTGTATAGCAATATTTAAGAATCCTTTTAAATACTACTGGGAAAAATTTATTTTTTTAATCTATCCGCATAACATCTGTTTTATTCAGTTTATTTGTTGAGCACCCACCACAAAAGACTGTCTTGTTAAACTCTCAGGAATCTTTACCAGTAAATTCTAACAGATAAAATTGTTTTGGGATTTATTCATCAAACGCATTGAAGAGGAGATGAAGATATGTAAACATATTAATAATTGTATTAGGTAGGGAGACCTTGAAAATTTACCATAGTTTATTACAGTTTCGCTTTCTTATGACCTATCTTTCATTTTTTTCCCCAATACATTGTTATGAGGCCTGTATTTCTTACTTTGTACTTTGTAAGGCTGTCTGAATAAAAAATAAATAATATTTGCTATGATGATCAAAGTGATAATCTTTATTTGGATATAATTACCTACCACATATTCAGCTGGCAACTACTAGCAAAATTTTAATGAGATCTGTAAAGATTTATATATGATTGAATATTTCAATATATTTCTTCAGTATATGATGCATTTTCTCTGATTACTTGTCATTTTAAATTTGACAGGTGAGAATCAATGAAGATGTTTCAGAGCTGGTCAGCCATTTTGGTTGTTGGATTCATTCTTCTGGAATCAGAAGGAAGGCCAATGAAAGAAGCTGGATATGGCCTTAAGTTCTATCAACCTCTGCCAAGATTGCGACATAAGGTACAGTCCACATTCTGAGTCCATCTGTCCTCTCTACCAGTTAGAACTTAAGCTTTTGGTTTTCAGGTTGTTACTTAAGAGCACTTATTTTACAACATTTTCAGTGACTTCCATTTTATAAAGCATCATATTTTCAAACAAGGAATATCAGAAAATTTGTAAATTTACTATTGTTGGAATTAAATATTTATTAAGGAAGAACAAAGATGGGCCACCTAAAATATGTACTTAATTTTTGCATGCAGTAGTAGAAATAGACCTATATAATAAATAGATTAAGACCTCGTCAGATAATTTGTGTTATTTACATAGTAAGTTTAAATTTGGGATATTTCAAGCTAAAAATAAAGTATTATATTCTGGAGTTTGCCATAAAGATAAAACATCTGCCTATACCTATCTCTCTTTATATAAGTTAGCCAAAAATTGGGTTTCATACAAATTATTGACTGTTTTTACTTCATCAAAGACATAATTTTAAGTCATCTAATTTGAAATTAAAATTATATGCCGGGAAAATACTTCACGTTAAACATTTTCAATTATAAAATAATAGTCATGTTATAAATCATATAAGCACTTATAATAAGTCAGACTATTGCTTTCATTTTGATAATAGACCATAATGCTCAAAATATATGCAAGAAATATTTTTTTAGGTTCAATTAAATTAATAATACATTTTACTTTGGACCTAAGGAATTTCTTTTTTTTTTTTTTTTTGGTACCGGGGCTCAAACTCGGGACCTTGCGCTTGCGAGGCAGGCACCGGAACCACTGAGCTAAATCTCCGGCCAAGGACCTAAGGAATTTCTGACAATCCCTTCTAGAGATGCCCATCTGGCTTTCTGCCTGTCCTTTGAATAGGGAGGACATGTCCCAGAGATTTCCCTACAGGATCTCAGGGAACAGAGTTGTGGGAGCAGAGGACAACTCAGCTCTTATAGGTGATGAAGACAAACGCCCACGGCCCTTCTTCAGTAGACTTTTGGCCAGTTTGTCTGACTAACTGTCATACTGTCCATACTTTCCCCTTTCTGGCCCAAGACTCTACTCTTGTGGATTGGCTAAAGCATCCTACAATCACCGCTGCTGTAGTAGGACTCTGTCACATTGAGACCTGAGATAGGCTCTGTCAGAGCCAGTGTAGCAAGTTACAGCAGAGCTCTTGGAGCTCTTTGGACCAAATATGCGCAGAGTAGTTAATCTATTCTATCAAATGTGTTCCCTCTGTCTTTCCCACTGCTTTAAATATAGCAATGATGGTGTCAAAATATTCACCATGCAAATGGTCTTATGTCACACCTACTCATCAAAAACCTACTTCAGAGAGGCTCAAATATTTTTCTTTTGGTACCAGGAATAAAACTCAGGGCCTCTCACTTGCCAGGCAGGCACTCTGCCACCGAGCCACATCCCCAGCCCTCAAATATTAATTTAATCTTTTTTCTTTTTTTTTTAGTAGTTCAGAGAATCAAACCCAGGGCCTCACACATGCTAGGCAAGCTCTCTATGACTGGGCTACACCTTCAGCCCAATTTAATTTATTTTAAAACTATACAAAATGATAAAATATTACATGTGCTTCTTTTTGGTGCTAGGGATCAAACCTGGGGCCTTATGTGTGTTCTAACACTATAGTATGTCCCTAGCTCTCCTCCTATGCTAACTTAAGGAAAGTGGAGACCTGAAATATAACACCTCTCTTGGTCATTAAAACTAAACATCCTACATTTTATATATTTTTAATGTTGTCTGTGTGGTCTTCAGCTTTTTATGGTCTGGATAAAAAATAATCCCCAAAAGACTCCTGTGTTCAGAGGTGGGTCTTTTGAAAGGGGATTAGGTCATGGGGTACTAACCATCACTGAGCACTGATGAGTTCTCAGCTGAATGTGCTATCAGGAAGTAAGTCTACTTGAGAGAAGCAGGTAGCTGGGGGCAGAACTTGGAAGGGAATGTCTCCTCCTCTCTCTCTCTGATTCCAGTATGCCTGGGGGTAAGCAGATTTCCTCTCCCATGATGCACTGCCTCACCTCAGCCCCAGACATGAGACAGCTGACCAGAGACTGAAACCTTTGAAGCTGTGAACCAAAATAAATCCTTCCTCTTGTAAACTGTCTCTCTCAGATATTTTGTCACAGAGATGGAAAGCTGTCTATTAAAAAGTCAGATATGTTGTTTATGCCCTCTGATAGAGATGTAATAAGGAAAGAGTAAAGATTTATGAAAAATTTCTGCAAAAAACCCTAAGTGGCAGCAGAGCTAAGATATTTTAAAAAGATAATACTTCACTGACTTCGTTTAACAAAAAAATGAGTAGTCAAGGGTGCTCTACAGTCTGCCTCTAACTGGCTCAGTTGGTAAGGGAGAATTTAAGTGGTCTTCCTGAACACAATTTTTAGGAACCAGCTGGGACCTAGCCTTGGGATTTTGATTCTCTGCTTTGCATTTCATTACCACAGGAGATAGCAAAAGCTGCAGCCAGGAACCTGAGAACATGCCAGATTTTCATGGCCAGTATCTGACCACTCCTGCTCTGGAAACTGACCTCAGTTTGCAGTACAGTTCCCACCCATCTTCTCCCCCATGGCCTCCTCTGTGTAGGTTACCTGAATCCACTAAGAAGTATCTGGAGATTTTATCTTCAAAGACTTGCTTCAGCAGGCGGGGTCTGTCTAATACCTGAGGGGTCTGATTCTTTGCAGGGGTAGCCTCTGACAAAGCATCTAAGCCATCCTGGATAATGTTGTAAGGAAAGGGGTGCATGGGAGGAGGGATCCCACCCTCAGTCAGTCTCTTTTGGGACTTGGGGAGCTGAGGTGCCAGGGAGTGCAAGCCTTCCAGCAAGCTGTGGTGCAGGAGTTTAGCCATGCAGGGCAGCTTCTCCTGCTCTTTTTTAGCTGTGATGCACATGAAGACTGTCTGGGGCTCTTCTCTTCTCGCACCAGCTCTGCTGATGAATGACATAGCATTCAGGCTTTTAGCAAGTAGCTTCTGTGCTTCTTTAAATGAAAAGCTATGAGTTTTTAGGAGATTTGATTTCTTACTTTCCTTATTAAAATTATCAACCAATGCATATAATTCTGACAGCTGTGAGAGAAACAAAAGGGAGAAGTTATGAGATGAATGAAAATATAATCTGATAGACCCAGAACCCTAGAAAAATAGGAGAAAAAATAGCCAAGGAAACAGAAGCATTTACTTTTGGAAAATATTTTTGACTAAACCAAGTCAGTGGTGGCAATATGGAATAGAAAATAGAAGTCTGAATCTGAGATCTATTTCCCAAAAGATGAATTATTCAGACACATCTTTAACTCTCCATTAGAAAATAAGCTGGATATATTTGGATTTGAGAGTTTTTGAGATCTTTCCCACTCTGAAATTCTATGCATGAGTATGGCCAGAGATAGCCCCAGGGAACAGGGTGGTAGGGAGTGGGAGCTCTGCTTGTTATGAATACCAACAGATTTCTTCTAAGGAAGAAAGGCACCTGACCATTCAGATATGACAGTTTCAGCCTTGTGTCAGGAGCTCAGAATGTTCAGCAGTGAAGGGCAAAGAATGCTGTAAGAGTTGCAATTTGCTAGAAGAGCTCACCAAAACAATTGGTTACATGCATGGAGTATTTGAGAATAGTTATTGGCAAATTATTTTTAAATTATTATTTCTCAGAATACAGTTTTCCAATTAAAATCCTATGTTAAAAGAACGGGATCTTCTTCCCAGAGCATCTTGCCTCCTACCTCATCACTCTCAAGTGGCTTCTTCGTCTGTTCAATTGGAAGGCCAAAGAGGCCACGTTCTCAGGCTGGGTCATTGGTCTGGGGATGTGGGTCAGCAGTAGAGCATTTGCCTAGCATGCCACACCTGGGTTTGATCACTAGCACTACAAAAAAAGCAGGGGGAATTGAGTTGTTTGGACCAATGCAGTGTTTCCTTTTAATCCCAGCCAGTTCTATTGAAAGAGCAATAAGTAGAAAGTAAATTGAAGTTAGCAACTGGCTCTTTAAAACTGATTACCATCATCAAGGAACGAGTACATACATGCTCTCTTGCACACAGGAAAGCTTCTTTGTTTTGTTTGGACAAAATTGAAAGGAAATTGTGGTAATCCCATGGCTCCCTGGTGTCAACTTTTTAAACTCTTGAATGTAGCATTTCCCTGTACAATATCATAGGATTTAAGTACACACTGAACACCTTTGGTGAGACTCTGCTGACTGGCTGTCTTTAGCTGGATTGGCACCTCTCAAGAGGGACATTGTGTGGGATTTTATTCTCTACTTCCTAAAAAACATAAAAATCAAAGATCAGATAAACTACAAAGAATGTTATGCTTCTTAAGTCTTCAGGACTTTTTAAAAAAATTTTTCTTTTATTGGTACATTTTAGGTATACAATACAATGACATTCATCATTGGAAATTTGCACCTTTACTTACTCTCTTGGTTCTTATTTTTCCCCATTACACTGCCCTCCTTTCAACCCCACCATCCCTCCCTATTTACAAAGACTTTGTTTCCATTTTTTGATTTTCTCATATTGATTCCATTCCCTTCTTTCTTTCTCCTACTCCTCCAACTTTGGCTTGCCCTTTGCCCTTTTTCCTCCTATTTCACATTATTTATTATACCTTTTAGTCCTTATTTATACTTTCAGGCTCTCACAGTAGAGCAACTATTCAGTATTTACATGTCTGTCCTATTTATTTCACTTAAGACTATCACCTCAATGTGCATCCATTTAGCTGTAAATGTCTCTAATTTTTCATTATTTATGGCTGAGTAGTACTCCATTTCATTAAAAGAACAAAATTTTCTTTATTCAATCTCCAGTTGATGGGCATTTGGATGGTTTCAAACTTTTAGATATTAAAAATTGGGCTGCTATGAACATGGGTGTGCATATGTCACTGTGGTATAATTCTTTTAATACTTTAGGGAAGATCCCCTGCATGGGAATAGCTGGGTCAAAAGGGACAGCCAGTTTTAGTT